AATCAGTTTGCTTTGGAGCCGTCCTTCCTGAGCTAAGACAAAAATGTGTGAGTCGGAGGCTAAAAATCTGTGAGCTGGCTCACACTAACTCAGCTTAGAGGGAACTATGCTCCTAAGCAAACTAACTTATGCAGTAGCCAAATTGCTCGCTCACAACTTTAATGCCAGTAGCTCACAAAGTTGAATTTTTGCTCACAAGACTCCACAGCTTAGAGGGAACATTGATCCTGACAACAACCCTGTGAGGAAGGTCAGGCTGAGAGTTAACAGTGGTGACCGAGTCAGGATTTCAACCTGTCTCTCTCCAGTCTTAGTCCACCACACCTCAGTCTTGCTGGAGGAGAGGAGAACCACGTATACTTCCTGAAGTTCCTTAGAGGAGGCAGTATCAAAATACACTAAATAAATAAAATGGGTGAAGTTCGGGCTCGGTCACTGATAGAAGGCCCAGAGCTAGAACTCTGTGCATCTTGAAAGGCATCTTGTTTTATTTATTTCATTTCTACCTCACCTTCCTCCCCAGTGGGGACCCAAAGTGGCTTACATCATTCTCGCCTCCATTGTATCCTCACAACAACCGTCTGAGGTAGGTTAGGCTGAGTGTGTGACCGGCCCAAGGTCACCCAGCAAGCTTTTGTGGCACAGTGGGGATTCGAACCTGGGATCCTAGTCTGACGCTCTAACCACCACATCTCACTGGCCGGCCTTACAGCTGATGAGGCCTTCTTCCCCAGTGAAACAACTGAATACCTGGTTTTGGATCTGGTGGGATTTGGTAATTTATATAGTCCCAAGAGGTATTCATTCTGCCCCTGGATTATTTTGTCTGTGAGGCCTTAGCCTTACAACGTCAGCAGGGAAGGTTTTCTTCCCACAGACCGTTTGATTTTCCAATTGTGTGACATGTGTTGTGATTCCAGCTGTGTTGTCCAAAACATTCACGTGGCAGAACCTCTCTTTTGAAGATTAACATTCACGATAGATTCAAGCGGCTTTCCCCCCTTTAAAGCTAACAAACAGGACATTGGGAACAGCTGTAGCACGTATTAGCAGCTTTTAAATTTAGCTTCCAGTGCGCAAATAAATGTCCTGATAGCCAAGCACCAGTCGGAGCAAGTCCTGTCTCATTAGGAAATGTTTTGACAAAGAAGGTTCATCTTCAGTTGAGAAGCCAGCTGCGACCAACGTTTCTCTAAAAAATGCGGGATTTAGAACCCGGTCAGCATGCAAAGCCCCCTTTATCTTCAGTCTGACCTCTTACGAGGCATTTCAGAGAGTGCTGTGGTCAGTGTTCCCTCTAAACTGTGCGCGTGAGCGGCTGCTCGTTAACACAGAAAGCCCTACTCAGTAGCAGTCTGGAGCCGCGCAGGGTCTTGCACTGCCCATCGCCCATTTTAAGATTACAGCAGTTTGGTGTAGTGGTTAGAGCCAGTTTGGTGTGCTGGTTAGGAGCGTGGACTCTAATCTGGGAGAACTGGGTTTGATTCCCCACTCCGCCACATACAGCTGCTAATGTGACCTTGGGTCAGTCACAAGTTCTTTCAGAGCTGTTCTCTCAAGAGCAGTTCTCAAAAGAGCTCTGCCATGGCTCAAGTGGGGTGTCACCTGATGCTGCCACCACTCTGGTTCCAGGCTCCTCTGAGAAGGCCCAGAGCACCCTCCTAAGCCTTTAGACCTCCCTTTTAGCTGAAATGAGCGTGAGGACCAGGCAGAGTGAACAATGAAAATGGTTTATTTTATAGGAGGCCAAACAAACAAAGTGCAGGAATAATAACAGTAAGTGGGTGAAATGAAAAGAAATCAAATGCCCTAAATATACTGTCCCTAGCTCACTATCTCAAGTGGCCTTAGACTACTTACCCTTCCCTGGATGAGGGTTTCTTCCCCACAGTAGCCTTCCCTCTGTCCCTGTTTCCTGAGAAGAAGAACAGCTTCTCCTCTTGCACCAGTTCTTTTATTCCCCAGCCCTCTTCTTCCCTATTGGCCAAAATCAGCGCCAAAACTTCCCAAGGCCTTCTGGGGTTTGTAGGCCCAGCCTCCCCTACTGCTAGCTAGGCTCCCTGGGCCTTCTAGGCCTTGCTTGCACAGCCCAGATCATGACAAGCTCTCTCAGCCCCACTTACTTCACAAGGTGCCTGTTGTGGGGAGAGGAAGGGAAGGCGATTGTAAGCTGCTTTGAGATACATAAGGCCTGCTGGGTGACCTCAAGCCAATCATAGTTCTGTCAGAGCTCTCTCAGCCCCACCTGCCTCACAAGTTGCCTGTTGTGGGGAGAGGAAGGGAAGGCGATTGTAAGCCGCTCTGAGACTTCTTCGGGTAGTGAAGGGGGGTATAAATCCAATCTTCTCCTCCTCCTCCTTTTTTTCTGCTCAGGAGGTGAACTGCTCCACTTAGTAGGGAGGAAAAAAATTAGAGGGAACATTGGTTGTGGTACATTATGGATCTGCAGTTTAGTACTCCTTGCCTTACGAGGCAACAAACTAGTTTGTCAGAGTATGGGGGGTGGGGCAGAATCACATTTTCAGGCATGCCAGTGCCATGTGTGATGCCAGGGGCCATCTCCATGACATATAAAACTCCAGCAAAGTTGGCTATCTGCCCACCATCTTGCACGAGGTGATGGTCAGATGTTGGGTGTGTAGTCAAAGAAATTGGGAATGCATCCCGTTGTCCTCCCCTGCCCCACTCAATTAATCTTTCATCCTGCGTGAATACATTGTAAAACAGGATCTTTGACCCTCTGCAAGCATGATAGTTTTGGTTGGGTGACGGAAGGCTCATCTTGTGATAGATGATTATACTTGGAGGGGACAATTAGAGATCTGTTTTCCTTCCCTTCACCACACATGAAGCTGCCTTGGTCCATCACGGTCAGTTTTGTCTGCTCAGACTGGGAGCAGCTCTCCAGGGACTCAGGCAGAGGTCTTTCACATAGGATTACCTGCCTCCAGATGGTGGCTAGAGATCTCCTGAGGTTACAACTGATCTCCAGGTGACAGAGATCTGTTCCCTTGGAGAAAATGCCCGCTTTGGAAGGTGGACTCTATGGCATTATGCCACACTGAAGTCCTTCCTCTCCCCAAAACCCACCCTCCCCAAGGCTCCACCCCCAAAGTCGCCAGGTAGTTCCCAACGTGGAGCTGCCAGCCCTACTTTTACATCATCGAATACCTGGTTGTCTTAAGTGGAGATGCCAGGGATTGAACCTAGGACCTTTTGGTTCAGTTTGGTGTAGTGGTTAAGTGCGCGGACTCTAATCTGGGAGAACCGGGTTTGATTCCCCCACTCCTCCACTTGCACCTGGCTGGATGACCTTGGCAAGCCGTAGTTCTGATAAGAGCTGTTCTTCAAAAAGAGCAGTTTCTGTCAGAGCTCTCTCAGCCCCACCTACCTCACAGGGTGTCTGTTGTGGGGAGGGGAAGGGAAAGGAGTTTGTAAGCCGCTCTGAGACTTCTGGGCGAAGGGCGAGGTATAAATCCAATCTCCTCCTCCTCCTCCTCCTCCTCCTCTTCTTCTTCTTCTTCTTCGTCAGAGGCTCTTCCTCTGTGCCACTGCTCCTTCTCTTTGTGCCTGAGGGATGATGGGATAGCTGTGGGGTGTGAGGAGTCTCTACCACACAGACCTTCACGTGAGAGCAAATAGTTTGCAACTTCTGTAAACACACACTTGTTGCTGTGTTACCCATTTCCTCCTCTCCTTTCCTTTAGCTCTAAGAGCGCAGGGGAGAAAGCAAAACAAGATAGTGTCTACGGGTTAGTCATTTTCTCTGTACCTGTCTGGGAAAACGTGCCACTTCCTGGAGATACTTTCACATAAACGATTGTTTCTGGAGCCCTTAGCAACTTAAGCATCTCTCCTGCCAGGCTGTCACTCTTCTGGCCTTCCGCAAACTGTAGCAAACGGAGATCGATTCAGATGGTGACCGTGCTGGTCTGAAGCAACAGAACAAAGTTTGAGCCCAGTGGCACCTTTAAGACCAACAAAGGCCCTGGTCACATGGGCAGGATATTGCGGGGGGGCATGGCAAATTGCCTCGCGCAGTTTGATCCGCGATTATACGATCAGACGTGCCAGCAGCATACCACGGGTCCTTCTGTCTGAGCCAGCGCATAAACGAGGGGCTGGAGGGGAAAGCCGCGCGCCAGCGCGATCACACCACAGGCATCTGGAGGCATCCCGTGGCAAACCGTTTGCCAGTACTTTGGAGGTACTACTTTTTTATCACGTGTTTTCGGCGGTAAGCCACGGGTTGGCCACAGGTGCGCTCCACTTCCCAGATGTTGGGGTGTGATTGCGCACGGATAATCCACCCACCACCCGTGGCTCTCCTGTGGCAAATTTGCCGTGTGAACGGGGCCAAAGTTTACTTCTGGGTGTGAGCTTTCGTGTGTATCTGAAGAAGTGTGCCTGCACACAAAAGCTTATACCCAGAATTAAACTTTGTTGGTCTTAAAGGTTCCAGTGGACTCAAACCTTGTTCTGCGGAAAATGGAGTTATTCAAGAGTGCTTTTTGCTCAGGTAAATAGGGCTGTACTGTAATGAAAGGGACAGAAAGGTTTGCTGGTAAAGGGATAGGGACTCTGGCCTATGCTATTGCGTTACTGCCTGTCACTGTAAGCATGCTCCAGACTAGGTAGTTTCTACGCCCCTTAATGTATCGTGTTTAAAAGTTCACACTTTGTTCCAGCTCTGTTTGAGATCAATCTTACTTCGGCTGCTAACTGGAAGTTCAGACCATAGAGTTCCTGGTGATTCCTAGAGCTACCTGGAAGTGATAAGGGTAGCTCTAGCAGCGACTGGGTGCCTCTAGGAATTGTGAGGAACTCTATGGTCAAAACGTTTAGTCAGCAGCCAAGGCCTTATTTTTCTGTTTTAATTTTTCTCCCGGGGCTTTGCTCCCACCAACCCTACTCATTAAAGTAGTGGCTCCTAACTTCGAAAGGACGCTGTCAGTTCTGACAATTGCAGCCTAATTTGACAGAGAACCCTTCTGTTTCAGCTACAAGCCCATTGTGGAGTACATAGATGCCCAGTTCGAAGCCTACCTGCAGGAGGAACTGAAGATCAAGCGATCACTCTTCAATTACCATGACACCAGGATCCACGCGTGCTTATACTTCATCGCGCCCACGGGCCACTCGCTGAAGTCCCTCGATCTGGTCACCATGAAGAAGCTCGACAGTAAGGTACACCACCGCTCGCTTTGATAAGATGCAGAATCAGGTGTCGACCCTCCCAGTCTCACAGAGGAGAGCAGACGTCTGTTGTGTGGAGTGGTGGAAGGACCGGGAGTCCAACCCTACCACAGGGTTGGATCCAGAGAAAATTTTCCACTCACACAAGGCCTGCCCCCTGCTCCTTCTCTGCCTCTTTCTTTCTTTCCTTCTTTTTCTTTCTTTCTTTCCTTCCTTCTTTCCTTCTCTCCCTCCTTATTTCTCTCTCTCTCTCTCTCTCTCTCTTCCCCCCCGCACAGATCTGTGTGAGGGCAGGTCTGTGCGTTCCCCCCCAGCTAGCAATCCAAAACAGTCCAGTGGCACCTTTAAGGCCATGTTTTATTCAGGTACAAGCTCTCCCTCCTCTGTGAGGGCAGCCCACTGATCTTCCTGAAATGGTTCCCCGGAGAGACGAGGGGACCCTCAGGAACAGCATGAGAAGCTAACTTGGGGGGGGGGTTGACAGCAGGAAGGGGAAATCGGTGGGAATTTCCACACCCCTTCTGTTAGCAGAAAGTTAACCCCCACTCTTGCTACCCATTAACAGCAAGGAGCATTTGGTTTTAGCGTTATTTATGTTTGCTGCCTTGGGGAGCCCCAGGGCTTTTTTTTGTAGAAAAAGCCCAGCAGGACCTCATTAGCATAATAGACCACACCCAACAGCAGAAACTCATTAGCATATTAGGCCACACACCCCATGTTACCAGAAGTGTGGTCATCCAGCCACACCCACCTTTTGCTTCTTATTCTGTTTACCTTGTTTGTTGTCAAAACCCAGGGCTCTTTTGTAGCAGGAACTCCTTTGCATGTTAGGCCACACACCCCTAATGTAGCCAATCCTAATGAGTTTCTGCTATTGGGTGTGGCCTATTATGCTAGTGAGTTCCTGCTGGGTGTGGCCAACTCGGGAGCCAGCCGGAACTCCGTTCCTGTGCGTTCCTGCCCAAAAATAGCCCTGGGGAGCCCTACTTTGGGTGGAAAGGCAGCATAAAAATGTTTTAAATAAAACAATGATATTCATATAAATAAGTTAATATATGTTTATCTAATTCCCTCTCGAAGCTGTCCATGCTTGTAGCCGCCGCCACCTCCTGTGGCAGTGAATCCCATGTGTTCATCAACTCTTTGGGTGAAGAAGGACTTCCTTCTGTAGCAGTAGAAAACAGGAAGAGTCCAGTAGCACCTTGAAGATCAACAGAAATTGTTGCAGGGTATGAGCTTTTGTGAGCCACACTGCTCACTTCTTCGGATATCTGAAGAAGGGAGCAATGACTTACAAAAGCTCATACCCTACCACAGGTTTTGTTAGTCTTTAAGGTACCCTTGAATTCATATGCACCAAGGAACGCCTCTCCTAACTGGTGCTTCCCACAGCTCTTCGTCTTAAAAGCAAAGGAAGTGTGGTCTGCTTTTTCATAAATCTTGCGCAGATTTAACCAATCCACTGATCAAAACTGGTACAATTCAGCGATTCATCAACAAAGACTTTGTTAATTGAGCGACGGGCCTGGTCCCTGGCTAAAACTCTGCCCAGGGTGACAGGCGGCACCTCTGCTTTTACACGACATGGGCAGAGTGGGCTGATGATAATAAACAGGTGGGTTTTCAGTGGTGAAACTGTGCCATGAAGAATTCTGGGTAAAGTTACAGGTATGGTCCTGCTGTGTTCTGCAAGATTCCCAGAAAAAACAAAACAAAAAAGCAAACGGCTTCAAAAGGGAATTAGATAAGCATATGGAGCAGAGGTCCATCAATGGCTATTAGCCACAAGGTATAGATAGGGACTCTGGGGCAAGTGATGCTCTGTCTTCTTGGTGCTTGGGGGGGGGGGTCAACAGTGGGAGGGCTTCTAATGTCCTGGCCCCACTGGTGGACCTCCTGATGGCACTGGTATTTCTGGCCACTGTGTGATACAGAGTGTTGGATGGGCCTTTGGCCTGATCCAACAATGGCATCTCTTATGTTCTTATGTTTAAACAGGTAGTAAAGCTGTTGTTGTTTTGCTGTCAAGTCACACCTGACTTACGGCGAAACCGTAGGGTTTTCAAGGCAAGAGACGTTCGGAGGTGGTTTGCCATTCTTTGCCTCCGCGTCATCACCCTGGTATTCCTTGGAGGTCTCCCATCCAAATCCCAGCCAGAACCAACCACCTGGAGGTTGGCAGCCCAGTTGTGTGTGTGTGTGGGGAGGAAGACCTCTCCTCTGTGACCTGGCACAAACATGTCTCATTTAAACTGGGCTGCTCCCCGTGCAATGCAGCGGTGTGCCCTTTGCACACTAGAGATCCTTACACTGTTGCACGCGTTGCCCTGACCTGCTAACTAAACATGCGTGGTGCCATTTGCATATATAGCATCCCAGTTTAAACAGGAAGTTGGACATGTACGAAGTTGCATGAGCAGATCTGTGTGCGTCGCCAGCATCTGTTTAAAGCAGGCCGCACTGTTTCCATTATTCTCTCTCTGTCTCTCTCTTTCTCTCTCTCCCCGACTTCTGTTCATGCTGCCCTGCTCTCAGATTCCGGAAGGTTTGCTCCACTATTTAAGAAAAAGAAAAGAAAAACAAAGCCCCTTTTCACGAAGCATATAATTAACTTGTAGAATCCGGTACCACGGGATGTGACAGCCACTACTTAGAATGGCTTTAAAAATACCAAACAGATTTGTGGGAGGATAGGTTCATCAACAGATGCTGGATGTCATAGGTAAATGGAACCTCTCTGTTCAGAGACAGCAGGGGTCATTTCCTGCAGGAGCGCACAGGAGCGGAGCTCCGGCACTAAAGAGCCCAGGGGGCGGGCACATGCAACAAGCCCTGCCCCCTGCTCCTTCTCTGCCTCTTTCTTTCCTTCTTTTTCTTTCTTTCCTTCCTTCCTTCCTTCCTTCCTTCCTTCCTTCCTTCCTTCCTTCCTTCCTTCCTTCCTTCCTTCCTTCCTTCCTTCCTTGTGGCACCTTTAAGGCCATGTTTTATTCAGGTACAAGCTCTCCCTCCTCTGTGAAGACAGATCTGCGCGTTCCCCCCCCATAGCTAGCAATCCAAACCAGTCCAGTGAAGCCTGAACGGTGGGTGTTGTCTTCTGACACACTTCCGGTGATGTCAGGGGGTGTGGCATATGCAAATAAGTTATGCTAATGAGCTCCTGCATTTCTTTTTCTGAGAAATGACCCCTGTGAGACAGTATACCTCTGTTTAGGAGATTTCTTAGTGCAAACAGACGGATGGCCGTCACTTTGTTTTTTCAGGCTGTTTGAGATCTTCTTGAGGCATCTAGAGGCTGCTGTAGGGAACAGGATTCTGATGTAGTTGGATCTTTTTGATCCAACTAGATCACTCTTTATGGTCTTAAATGTCGAGTAGAACTTTCAGCGATGAAAATGGGCTGCTGATAGTATAGATATATGTACAGTTTGGGAATGAAGAAGCATTCAGGACTGTGGAGACAAGGAACTTGAAACAGCATTGATTCTTCCACAAGGCATCCTTCTTAATACTGCCAAAAGCTAAAAACAAAACTTAAATCTGGGGAGGGAGAGTATAAGCCTAGATAATTGCAGAAAATAAAGTCCGCAATTTCAGCTCAAATGTTTGCTTTTCATCCAAATGGGGATTAGCAGCATCTAACTGGAAAGGACAAGTTTATATAACATAAGAGGATTTTCAAGCACCGTCAGTAGTTAAAAAAACCCAAAAAAACCCCTCTTCATTTCTGGGTCAGTGTTGACTTCATACTCACTGCTGGAATGGGGATAGTCCTTAAGCAATTGTGGACCTTTGGAGGGGCTGTGGCTCAGTGGTAGAGCATCTGTTTGGCATGCAGAAGGTCCCAAGTTCAAGCCCTGGCATCTCCCGTTGAAAGGGGCAGGTGTTTGGTGGTGCAGAGCCGCTGCTAGGCTGAGCTAGACCTTGATGGACCAAGGGCCACATTTGGCGTATGGCAGCTTTGTTTTGTGCATGACATTTGTGGCACTGGAGCAAACTGATTCTAAACGAATTCTACCATGCCATGTAAGAACATAAGAGCCATAAGCACATAAGAGGAGCCAGTACTGGATCAGGCCAGTGGCCTATCCAGTCCAACACCCTGTGTCACACAGTGGCCAGAAATACCAGGTGCCATCAGGAGGTCCATCAGTGGGGCCAGGACATTAGAAGCCCTCCCTCTGTTGACCCCCCCCCAAGCACCAAGAAGACAGAGCATCACTTGCCCCAGAGCCCCTATCTATATCTTGTGGCTAATAGCCACTGATGGACCTCTGCTCCATATGCTTATCTAATTCCCTCTTGAAGCCGTCCATGCTTGTAGCCGCCACCACCTCCTGTGGCAGTGAATTCCATGTGTTCATCACTCTTTGGGTGAAGAAGTACTTCCTTTTATCCGTTCTGACCCGACCGCTCAGCAATTTCATGGAGTGCCCACGAGTTCTTATATTGTGAGAAAGGGAGAAAAGTACCTCTTTCCCTTAATAGAGCCTTAATGGAATGTTATTTACCTCCATGCCACGAAAAGTTTCAGCTGCCCATTTCCATACATTGGTGGTGGGAAGTCCCATCAAGTCGCTGCCAACTTATGGCAACCCCAGTCGGGTTTTCGATGGGGACGTGCATTCAGCTAGAACAAGCCGAAAAAAATACCCAAAAGATACCATATCAGTATTTTCTAGATATTTTTTTCAACCAGATAGCAAGTTGGGGTATTTATTCAGCTGTCTGAAAATGGCCGACACTGCCGGATAGCTGCAGTTAAAGGGCATTTAAAGGGCTCTCAGTCCCTTTAAATGCCTTCCATCTGAACTCCCCAACTGGAGAGGGGATTTAAGGGGACTGCAAGCCTTTAAAATGCCTTTGGAGTTCACTCACGGTTTGGAGAAGCCATTTAAAGGGACCACAATCCCATAATAATAATGATAATGATAATGATGATAATATACTTTATTGTCATTGTACATAGTACAACGAAATTAAAGGTGCAATCA